TATTATCGAATGAAATCATATGAATACAGAACTTGAAAAAATTTCAAATAATTGTAAATGTGGCCAGTTTTTTCCAACAAATAAAACAACTTGTTCAAAAGTCAACACAACATTGTGGAAGTTCATTTATGATAAGCATTTGATAATCATCCAATACGATTTATTTACTTGTTTAAGCACATACATTTGTACAAAGGGGCACCAAATATATATGCGCTACACAAAGTAGTTACCATTTGATTTATCTATGGGCTCAGATACTAGCCGGGTGCTCGAACTGAAAAAGGTGGTATTTTTAGAGGGCCACTCTCCGAGCCTTTGGCATAAAGTCTAATCCACAAGGCAACGTTGGGAGATGCAGCCCTATGGTAGCCGATGCTCAACAACAGGTTCATACTCCATTTATTCCCTCAGGATCCTGAAGCCCAAGTACACCATTGGTGTGGAATCAAGGTTTTCCAATTTTCCTAGGTGGATCCCCATATCCACCAACCCTGTTTAAGCGCCTGATATTCTTTTTTGATTCTCTCAACTTCTCAAACATTCCCATTTTGAGAGGGCAGTAAGTGGGACTTCCCTGTCAGTGGCTATATGTGACTAGCCATATGAGAGCATTTCGAGAAGGAGAGCGGACCCTACCTACTCTCGGCCGCACCAGGGCGTTCAGGGGCTTTGATAAAATAATGGGCTCTAATTTACTATGTTACGAACAATATGTAAACAGACTGAATAGTTAGTTTGAGCTTTGTGCATATACCATGACAATAAATGCTAAATGATGAATTTTGACATAATACATGGTAGCCAGTTAGTTAGAAGTATCATTCAGTTCATTTGCTTCTCAAAACCATATATAGCATAGAATATCGAATAAATGTGTACTTATTCAACTTTCTGGATTTTACATCAGTTCAATGAGAGGAATTTGTAAAGAACAAGAAAGAAATGAAAATGTCGGTGAGAAATGATGAACTAAACACAAAGAATACAGTCCAGAATTAGGAAATAAGAAGAAAGAATGAAAGATATGTATTATCACCAGATCCAAGATTAAACAAAGCCAAATCTGAACGATCTTGACCGACTTTGGATTATGTCAAACTAATCCGTTGGACGATGGCAGTAATAAAAGCCAAATACGAATTAAATTAGTTTTTTCAGACAGAAAAATAAGTCGAAGACATGCAATATAGAAGGTAAGGGATAATTACACACGCACACATACGCTACAACTGTAGATCACAATTATATCATCAATTTTCATCCGATCAGCATTGTGTAGTAGTAGGTAACTTTATAAGCCAGCGTGACAAAATGTCTGAATCACCTCAGTCGATGAAGGATTACAGACTCATTAGTGAACGTTTCATTTCCATCCAAAATATTACGTTTGAAATAAGGACTTATCTATTAATTCATCTGGGGGCAGTTGGTGGAAACTTAGCAGAGACTATGAAGAGATAATGGTGAGTATTTATTCTTTCTAAATCTTACTGACCAATTTAGCCGGATGGAGACAAAGGGGATGTCTACTAGAATCCGATCCAGGAGTCCCTGTTATACTTTAAAATTTTAGTCCATATTTACAATAACAAGGTCATTTAAATTTGCAGCTCAGTATATAAGCACATGAGTGAATGGCCGTAGTTCCTCGTACTGGTTCAGTGAGGTTAGTGAATTACCACGATTGGATCCCATGCCAATGTTTCGAAGATACATAGGATTCAGATATTGTAGGCTACAACACACAGTTCGGAGTGATTTCAGGAGACCAGGAATAACATTAAATGGACTCGGACAATGGTCCCACGCAAGGAAAATGTTACAGAAATAGATGGTTTTCGGGATAAATAAAATGTACAGAAAAATACCTGAGTAGGATGACCAGCTCCACTGAACCCACCCAACATTGAAGCAGCACCCACGGACCTCCCAATCAATGTTGGCCCACCAACAATTGAAGAAATCAGCATGGCCATCAGACAAATCAAGAGTGGCAAAGCAGCAGGACCGGACAACATCCCAGCAGAGGCATTAAAGGCAGACGTAGCGGCAACTGCAAGGATACTCCACATTCTCTTCAACAAGATTTGGGATGAGGAACAAGTACCAACAGACTGGAAAGAAGGACTTCTGATCAAAATACCGAAGAAAGGCGATCTCAGCAAGTGTGATAACTACAGAGGCATCACTCTTCTCTCAATACCGGGAAAAGTCTTCAACAGGGTATTGTTAAACAGGATGAAGAACTGCATAGACGCCCAACTTCGTGACCAACAGGCAGGGTTCCGTAAGGATAGATCGTGTACAGACCAAATCGCAACTCTACGGATCATTGTGGAACAATCAATTGAATGGAATTCATCACTCTACATCAACTTCATTGACTACGAAAAGGCATTTGATAGCGTGGACAGAACAACACTATGGAAACTTCTTCGACACTACGGCGTGCCTCAGAAGATAGTCAATATCATACAGAACTCATATGATGGATTACACTGCAAAATCGTGCATGGAGGACAGTTGACAAAGTCGTTCAAAGTGAAGACCGGTGTTAGGCAAGGTTGCTTACTCTCACCCTTTCTCTTTCTCCTGGTGATCGACTGGATCATGAAGACGTCAACGTCTGAAGGAAAGCGCGGGATACAATGGACATCTAGGATGCAGTTGGATGATCTAGACTTCGCAGACGATCTGGCACTTCTATCCCAAACGCAACAACAGATGCAGGAGAAGACAAACAGTGTGGCAGCAGCCTCAGCAGCAATAGGTCTCAATATACACAAAGGGAAAAGCAGGATTCTCCGATACAACACAGAATGCACCAATCCAATCACAATTGACGGAGAAGATTTGGAAGATGTAAAAACCTTTACATATTTGGGCAGCATCATTGATGAACAGAGTGGATCTGATGAAGATGTGAAGGCGCGGATCGGCAAAGCAAGAGCAGCATATTTACAACTGAGGAACATCCGGAACTCAAAGCAACTGCCAACCAACACCAAGGTCAGGATTTTCAATACAAATGTCAAGACAGTTCTACTGTATGGGGCAGAAACCTGGAGAACTACAAAAGCCATCATCCAGAAAATACAGGTGTTTATTAACAATTGTCTACACAAAATACTTCAGATCCATTGGCCGGACACTATTAGCAACAACGTACTGTGGGAGAGAACAAACCAGATCCCAGCGGAGGAAGAAGCGCTGGAAGTGGATAGGACACACATTGAGGAAAGCACCCAACTGCGTCACAAGACAAGCCCTCACATGGAATCCTGAAGGTCAAAGGGAAAGAGGAAGACCAAAGAACACATCCCGACGGGAAATGGAGATAGACATGAGAAAAATGAACAAGAATTGGATGGAACTAGAAAAGAAGGCCCAGGATAGAGTGGGTTGGAGAATGCTGGTCAGCGGCCTGTGCTCCATTGGGAGTAACAGGCGTAAGTAAGTAAGGATGACCATGTGTCATTAAAAACTGGAAGTAGTTGTCACATTCCGAGTGTCCGCACCATTGGGAGATATTTTTCCCGCAAGGACCTAAGAAGTAAACTAAACTAGTAGTGTAGTGAACAAGGACGCTAGTGGGGACAATCGGATGTGCGCAACAAATCATTACAGGACTGGTTAATAAAATCCAGTAATTATAAAATAAATGCTTAATTTGCAAAATATTCACCAATTGTCTCAGACTTCATTGTTCTTGCATTTTCATACAAACTGCATCCTGTTTCCATTTTTTACTGTTTGATCCTCTTGTCTCTCTGCTGCCAGACCTTCTGTTCACGACTAACATCATATACTACTTATGTCAATATAAGTAGCACACACCACAGTAGGAGTCTTTTCGACCTGCTTTCAAGAGACGCCTGTTTGGAGCTGACAACATATGGGGTTTTGTGAAATGTTTCAGATAAACTAACAGTGTTCTTCAGACCTTAGTGCAACCATCGGAAACCCATGGCAGAAGGTAAGATGTGTTTTATTTTAAGGCTGATACCTCTTAGGTTGTGGCAAGACAGAATCGGTGAATATGTAGCTTATTCTTGGGCAACATTCTTCTCTCATTATATCCCAGTCGTCGAGACTTCAAACTCAGGGTTTAAATTTATTTCATCTAATCCTATGGCTCTCTAACCGACCAATAAAGTTATAGAACTCCAATAAGCATGCTTTAGTCAACATAGCCCGTTGCGACAGTCACTCAGCTTAAACTTTTGCGCCACTATTATTTCAAAAGTGTGCAGTTATATCCATAAATTTCTCAGTTCGGCTTTGTCTTAGTCCAATATTTTATTTCAGTCGCATATACTTATACGTTCCAGTAAGATGTTTACAGACTCGCGAATATAATTTCTGTGAAACTCAAAAATTATTACCACTGCGGTTCGTATAACTTCCTCTTGGTTGTTCTTAAGAGAAATTAGAGATGATCAGTATAAGGATCATACATTGAATATATTAGGTGATGGAAAGGAATGTCATGGGATCAAGAATATTAAACATTTATGGAGAAACGTGAATGGGAGTTAGTGATTCTTTAAAAGCTTCTTAGGGGAGTTTGTGGTGATTTGTGCCGAGAATTCTTCAATGTAACCAACCATGAAGTAAAGTGGATATTATTCTGGAGAAAGCACCTGGCCACTGCTGCAAGGTAGCAGCTATCATTGAGCTATCGCAATTCAAAATGGTGATGATTCGTTAGTTGCTTATCTTATTTACTTATGAAACGTTTAATATTACTTGAATATCACTGTTAACTTTTGATTCCTATGGATTTTCGAAGTGTGAACTCATTAAATGATTACTCAGATCATTAGTATCGATTTGTGCAGATTGTTGCGTTTTAACTGAAATCACGAACCGATCAATGTTAGATCCCGAATGCGGGATCGTGAACTGCTGAGGAGTTCCATACTATGACGAAACGGCCGTCCAGTGCTTCAAGGTTTTTAATGGTGGTCCAACATTAATCGACTATTCAGTTATTTACTCAGCAGCTCATATATGTATGAAATTTAGCAAAGACCTATGTTCAAAATTATAACTATTCATTGTTGAAACTCGAAAAGTTCAATAAATTTCTGTCTTTTTTATAACAAAAAAGTTTAAGAGTATATGCGTGTGTAATGAGAAAGAATGAAACAAGCACATAAAATCGAGAATGACATTAATAATGAAAACAGAAAATAATTATAGTTCCCCTACATCCAATAAATTACTCTTACAAGACCTGATAATGGAATTAGTAATTATTAATTTTTGGAAAAGAAGAGATAGATCATTACTAATATTCAATATATATATATATGTTCTTTACATGAAAGATGTTAATTCTATTCTCTAAAGAAAAAACAAATAACGTAACAATAACTTCACTATGCACCCAATAATAAAGTGTAAACAATGGATTTGTTTATTTTTGATTCTCTTTTCTTTTCATTGGATGGTTTCAAGAACACCAGGGAGACATATCGAAGAATTAGGGGTTGTAGAATTTCAGGAAATAAAGCACACAATTAAAATAATAATAATAGTAATGTACACGGTTATGATTATTAGTTACAGTTGGTTAAACTTAATAATACGAACATAATACAAAGAGTGGCAATAATAATAGTAATAATAATAACCAAAGCATTTATAACAATATGTACGTAAAAAATCATTTTTATGTGCATAAACAGCTGTGCCCTGTGTGTAAATTGTAAGGGAATACAATTAAGCTAAGTGCTTGTGAAAGATTAAGAAACAAAATTTTTTGAGAAGAAACACAAAAGAAAGACAAGTGATATGGGCAAAAAATCTATCAATTATACATACATGAGATTTAAATCCTGATCACCAATAGACATATAAACAGTAGTTGTGAATATCATCATCATCATACACTAGGCTAAAAAACAGTGTAAAAGAGATAAACGAACTTATCAGTGAAGTTAAGCCTATATAAAACGACTGTGACAAGATCAGGCACAACATTGAAAATCACAGAAAGTTAAACGGTATAGGTATCTGAAGTGAATAGGATCAAATAAAGCCCTGAGAGTTACTACCACCACCACTAGGACCACAGGAGTCATATGAAGGTTGTTGTCTTAATGATCCGTGTAAGCTTGAATGTATCATATGCTGTGGGAGGTCTTGTGAAGGGATAGCATAGTGAGGTCCAATACCGTCAACTGAAGTATTACAATTAATGTTAGACAGGCTTGGACGGATATGTGCACTTTGATGACCAAATGTTCCATGTCGATTGTTCATATTTTCTCCTTGTGAAAGTACAGTTGTGTGTTGATGCTTTGGAGCATGTGACTGTTGATTAGACATTTGTAAAGTGCCTACATTAGGTGGTCCAGGAACAAAACGATGACCAGATGGATTCGGTATATTGTTGGTTACCATATTGTTACGAGGCTGATAACATGTGTAACCGCCTCCAATATTACCACTTGGTGAAAGGTGAGTTTGTGACTGTGTAGCCATATAATGATCTCTTTGATTAAATGATTGAGGTTGAGAATATCCTGAGTTTTGTGGCACGATATTTCGATGGTATGAATTAACAGAATTAGATGGAATAGTATTCTGGATTCTTGAACCACTTGGAATAAAGTGGGACTGAGATTGCTGTTGCCCATGAGAGAGTACATTAGTAAGTGGAGAATTGTGGATAGAAGTTTGATCTAACATAACTGAAGGATCAGTCATGGAATTACATTGCACTGGAACTGGTGTTGGAGCATTAAGGCGATCTAGGTTAGGTCTTGAAAGAGGATGACCATGGTAAGCAGTGGTATTACTATACCCAGTGGATATTGCAGATCGTTGAGTAACAGGTTGCTTGTAAAATGGAAAAATAAAGCATATTTTAACTAAAACGATAAAAAATCACGATGCTTATAAAAACTACTTTGACACTGAACAATGTTAAATGGAGATGAAATTGTTTTAAGAGAGGTCTATCTCGATATTTGTTTCATATTATTTTTGTCTTAAGATAAGATTGTAAACATTTAATGTTTTCTCAACATCTGGATATCACAAAAGTTTTAAAATTCGTATACACAGCAAAAAAGCAGAAAATTAAGTCAATCTTATTCGAAAACATTCACCAGATCTAACATGAAAATCATGATAAATTAAATTATTTCACTTGAGGGAATTACAAAGTATACTTCTTTTTAATTAAACGTCATGAACTTAAAGCATGATCAAACAGAGTACGAAATTGTGCATGTTAGGAAGACCCAAAAAATTCCTTGAAAAAAGCCCAGTGGAGACCTGAAAACTCTGGGAAGTATCTTATCCAATTAGTATCCAATCAAAGCTCAGAAACATCTAGAAAGTGAAAAGTCACATTTCTGACTGGGTGATTACCTATCCTTCTTCTATGTTTAGAAGAGTTCCAGAACTTTCCGGAAGTCCAAAGTCAAATGCTAAAAATGTTCGAGATTTTCTATACATAAACTATCCTTGGAGTAAAGCGTTCTTTCAAAACTTCGCACTTTTTCTCTCAAGTTCAAGATGCCGTATAGATTTGACATCGACATTACAAGAAGAGCTTAAGAAACCGAATCAAACGCTCAGTTAGAGGACTTATCAGTACACTGAATAAATGAAAGCAGATTATATAATATTGCAATTAGTTGACAACTGATAAATTCCCATCATGGGTCACTACTACTGGAGTAATTACGTTACTAATTTTGATACTTTCATTTTTCTCAACAAAGAAAAACAAGTCACTGGATGGCATTTTCAACTCGTCATGAGTACAATCCTGTGAAAAATGGGAATCTTCGATTTGATACTGTTCAGCTTAATCAGTATGTTATGTATACATAGTCAGAGATGGTAGGAAATGATATGAAAGAACCCTATGTATTAATTGGAAATGCGTGAATTTGATATGATAAATGAGGAATTCACTTGATACCCAATAAAGGAAATTTGAACAGTACCTGAATCACGTGAGAATTCTGACCAGACTGTATTGCACGTACAGACTGGTTTGGTATGGTATTATTTGAAATCGAAAGTTGTTGGTTCTGATGAGATACAGTATCAGTTCTATTAGTTATCCATTGAGTTGATGTCTCTGATTCTAATGGATATTGTGGCATATAGGTAGGTCCAGTCTGTAAATTATCATGCAAGTTATGTGGTGATGGAGTAGATCGTTGATTCAATTGAATAGTTTGATAAGCAGTATTTCCTAAAATTTGTGATTTCGATGGATTTTGTGCTTGTGAATTAATATGTTGTGGCATATACTGTGGAATATGTGAGGATTGATTTTGATATTGGTATGTAGGATTGACGGAATTACACGGACTTGGATCACGAGGTGGAATATTATTATTATTTGCCATCTAGAAAATTTACGAAAGACGAAAGATAGAATAAGTATGCTTTAACTAAACTGAAAAATAAATTAAACCAAGTCGATAAGAGCTATGGGAACTTACTACACAAGGAAAGTAATGTACGAGGTACTACATGGATAGATATTTTTATCACCGAATGAATTTACAGAGAAATAGTATACAGCCAGTTAAATATATTTCAAATGATAAATGCATTAGACAGAGAACAACTTTTCATGTTTTATCTACATAAACAGATAAAACGACATTGGGATAATTTATTGACTGATGTTGAGGAATAGGTCAACAAATATTGTGAACATTTTCAGCAGGTTTTTTTCACTACAAATTGATTGAAATTAAATAAAAACGTGAACGACACAAACACCAATATATTTAGCTTTAAGTTAAGTAATGAGATATAGTAAGGTAGGTTTAACTACGAGTAGTACTGATGAAGCCTTCATTCAGTTCAGATTTTGATCCATGCTGCCACATGCTCTGGTTAATTCTGTTGGATATAATATTTACTTGTTAGACTAATTAGTATGAATTATTTGACTATATCACTATAATTTTAGAATGGTTAAATGTGAGTTTCAAGTATTACTCTTCGTTAAATGACGATCCTTTGAAGTCACAGGACGTATGTTGTCTTCAGATCCGTGATAAATAAAGTATTGAGAGAAGCAATCATATTTACTGTTGAATACGATTCATTTCGTTGGTCATATTATATTACAATGACTTCTGCAATTTGTTGCAGACTATATATGACCACTAGGTAAAAACAGGCCATTTTCAGTTATATACAACCCCATTTTGAAATTTAATATGAATCTGAATGATTATTGTTATCAAATACTATTGAAAGAATAGAAGTATTTACAAAGTAGTAATGAAGTTTTGAAGGTTCAGTTTGTTTTGTATTTTTTCTTTTGGAAGAAAAAGATGTCCTTAGAATAAAAACAACCTATAGAGCTTCCTGAGAAGAGATGTTAAACAAGGTTAGCGGTACAACCTATTTACTGTCGTAAACGTTGGTGAATAATTTGTCAGTTTGTCATACAGACAAACACGTTATTGGAAGATATTTTTATTTTTAAAAAATAAGAAAATATGAAATGACATCAAACTAATAAGAATTATTTGCACAAAGCAGAAAGATAATATTGTGAAACAAAAGGGGAGAAGGATCGTATAATTAGTGGAATAATGATCATAGTTATATTGAAAATATCAAAAACAGTTAGGAGTTTATCTTATTTTCATGAAGTGAAATAGAAAACTGTATTGGAATCGAAACTAGCTTCTATTCTAAGACATATCAGATAATAAGCCTATCTATAAGAACCCATTCACAGAGACATGGATGACCGAAAGATGATAATTTAACACCTATCTCGTATTTACACGTTGTTACTTCGGATTTGTATAGCCAGAGGAACATTAAAACAACGGTCAAGATGACTCAGAATAACATAAACCAATCTGGCTTTCACTATGCATAGATTGATTTTGTCAGTCACACCACCATGAGCAATCACACAAATATCCAGAAAAAAACTTTTCGAGTACATCTAACGGCTTCCCACTAAAAGTGAGTGTAGGCTCAGAATCTTTCCATTCTTGCAGAAGTAATATGGATTTAGCTGTAAAGTATATATCATTTTTATAGTTCCTAATCAACATTATGGTTGACAAGACACTGGAAAAACTTTCTACTGATTGAAAATACCGAAAAAAGTCCAGAACACTACTGCTCTCAAAGCCACTATACATTTTCTCCTGAACGAAAGTGTATAAACATTATGATCACATGAATCATATTTGATAGTGAAAAACGAGACAAAACGAAAGTATCAATTGAACTGAACCAGCGAAAAAGAATATATATATTTACACACATTCTTTTTATAGATCCAAACGAAAACAACTAATCAGGTGAAAATAATGTAGTAATGAGTAGTTGCCTAAAAAAAACTACAAAATACCGTTGCTTATTTCCATCAAGACAATTTTAATAGATTAAGGACTAACAGGAATAAATATTTTAATAAAAACATAGTGTTTGTGTGTTTGTATGTTCAATAACTACCAATTAAAGAGAAAAATGTTGTTATTCGCATTTCAACAGTACACTTTTACACAGATAGCCTTAAAGGTTTATTGATTAGATTATTATCTCATCAATTGATTGTATTCTGTTAGTTCTCTTATTGTTAACTTGGTGTTTATTTCATTACATGTATTTGAAAATATATATTGTCTAATCAATAATCGACACACAATTAAAAACAGCTCCTTATCGAGTAGCGAAAAACACTGATACATATTTGAAATTCCTTGTAGTTATAAAACAGTTCAGAGGAGAAGAGTTTCTTCAGTTTGAAACAACTGGTCTGATGGAATAACGTTGGGAACACGTGAAATGTTACATTTAAGTCAGTAAAAAAAACAACTAATTAATGACTTACGTGTGGTGTATTCATGTACTGAGAGTTTATATTTAACATAGTTCCTGCACTATCAACATGTCCTTGTGAGAACGTCTGGGAATTTGGATGAACACGTTGAAAATGATTCCCAGACAGATTAATGTTCAAATCAGGAGTCATGTTATTAGATGATCTTGTATTAGTATAACGACCCATTACAATATCTTGTCGAAATTGTTCAGAGTCATACGGTACAAAACCTATAATAATGTGGAAGGAAAGTTTGAAAAACAAAAACGGCAGTAACTTAATCAGTTTTACGGAAACTTTCTCTTAAAAGACTATCGAGTACATTGGTGTGTGGAAAACATTCAAATTGAACAAAATAATAAATTAATAATCAATAGAAATAATAATTATTCAATCATTTAGTTGAATAAAATAATTAATACATGTTGTAAATCTTTATCTAAGAAAAATTTCATTCATCCATCGATTCTCCTACAACACTATGTGTTACTTTTACACAAGTGAAGAATATCAGCATGTATGTAATTTTTAGTAAGCATAACATTTTAATTCAATGGTCAATAGTAAGAAAAAAACAAACTATACAAATAAAAGTAATATGATCCAGTGAATATATACAATAATAACGAGATGAATTACATTATAACAGAAAAAATGATTGCTATCATCCTACAGAATCACATACATTAAAGATCTGTGACAGACAGGTATACGACTGAGAAAAATCACTGTAAAATGAAGCTGTATTGTTGCTTGCTAGTTAAAGCATATAGCTTAAAACTATCACGTCTCAGGCTATATATATATATATATATAACCACTGAGCCGGCATCTAACGGTGTTAATGTCTAACTTCAACTAATCCACGAGACTTATAGGTCCTGTGTTCGAATCCCGCGAAGCGGTGTTGTGGACGCGCGCTGCTGAGGAATCCCAAAATAGAACGAAACGGCCGTCCAGTGCTTTCAGGTTTTCCATGGTGGTCTAGCTTCAAATGACTCATCATCTCAACTATTGAAATTACTACAATTACTACTATATATATATATATATATATATATATATATATATAATATGAAGCAGTTGTCCCGGAAAATAATCTAAAAAGAGCATTTTGTTTTCATCCTGAACTGTTGTTATACATAGCATTCAATTTATTATATTTGCTACTCAAAACTCTGAAATCAAAAGTGTCACATACCAATTCAACAGAGAATTATCTTATTTAAGTTCAGAAAAGCACCTAAATTTACATAGTGAGTGATATTTCTTTAGTGATCATACAAAAGAAAAGAGTATTCTGATATATCTTTTAGAAACTTTTACCAAAACAGTAAACGTGATTTCCAGAAATTAAAAATTAAGCAATAAAATGACGTTGTCAATGCATTATGATAAATTAATTATTGTAATCTATACAGCGATCACATATAACAAGCTATTAATACATGTTAACATAAGATACTGTCAAACATAAACTCATTTTATAATTAAGATGTGAAATATTTATCATTTAGAACAGTAATTCAAGGATATTTCTAGAAAATAGGAGAATATACCTTTTAGAAATAAAATAAGAATTTCTTGAAAAATGTAGGATGATAAAATTTCTTCCAATTAATTTGATATTCATTTATATTCCGTTAGGAATTTTATAATTTAATGATTGCTTTGAATGTGTTATTTAGATTGCTTGGAACAAAGATCGAAAAATGTTTGCTAAGTTCAATTGTTCTACTTTTACAAAATGTACATTTTTTCACAGACAGGTAAATTTGTACATACAGTTAGGGAATTGCAAAGGATATATACTCATTTTTAATAAGTTATTAAACATATTGTCATATGCAATGGGAAGTAGCTCCTTCGATATATGAAAAATGCTACTGGTCGTTACTTGAAATTTTTGATGATTATTCCTTGGATGATGCTTTTAAAACACTAAACGAGTGAAAACATGTTTCTACTCAAATTTATTCGCTTACGTTTTCATGTATAAGTATACTAGCGTAGCTTATCCTCCTGAAAATACTTCTGTTTTAGTTTATTGAAAGAAGTATTCCACGTATACAATAATACTGGTAATATGAAATATGAAAAATTCTTGAAACCTTAATTACAGTTAACCATATTTTGAATCATATTGGGCGGCCTGCTTGAGCATCTGGGCTACCTGTTCCTGTCATCTAAATATTTCAACAAGCTATCTATTTTTGTTTGTTTTAATATATCATTATGTATATTAATCGCATAACACATCCTAGTGCATTTCTGAAAAGTTTACAACCTTTCGTTGTCAAAGTTACAAAAAGCTCAATAAGAGATAATGTGGTCGCTGGCAATATGCAGAGAAAAGAATATACATTATTCAGATGTTTATTTACTGAACTGCTAACATCTAACTGGCTATCACTCAATATTTATCGTCAGGATCAACTAGGAAGAAAGAAACGGAAACTTGTTGAAATACTTTGTGCTGAGAATTCTATATTGTACCGAAAATATAATATTGAATAAAGCTTATAATAATAATAATAATAATAATAATAATAATAATAATAATAATAATAATAAATTCCATAACAATTGAATACACTGGACAATAACAATTAAATATGCTTAATTAGTTACGTAGATAAAAAGACGTATATATGTTCTTGTTTGCGGCTACCAAGGTACATATTCGTTTATCTGCTGAATCTCTAAGTGTTAATAGATCTACAGAGAATGTTAAAAGATGCTGAACCATAGACTTTAGTCAGTCAATCTTGAATTTATTTACATAAATTGACGTACCTTTGTGTATTGTAATTTCTTCGTGTAAATGTTAAAAATATTCAGCAATTTCGTTATCAATATGAAAACGTTATAGTCTACACATTCTTCACCTGAGTATATAACGATTGGTGTGATAGTAAACATTGGTAAAATAGCGATAAAAACAAGTTTTTTTAACATTGATATTTGTAAACTTTAAAGAAACATAATAAAAATGTCAAGATAATTGGGTTTTTATGATTCCATATTGAGTGCAGAAACTACTGACAAGCAATGGCTTATAAGTTAAGGTGATCGGACTTCAACCAATAGGTCTCATGATAGAATCGTACTTTGTGCTAGTTTCACATTCGAGCAATTAACTAGACTCATAGTGTGTGCGTTTCATGAAATTAAACTTCTAACAAATGAAGCGCATTTGAATGAACACTTCGCCACAAACCTAATTTCTATAAGGCTTGGTTAAATGTAAAAACAGGTAATAATTCAAAGTCTAAAGAACCTGATATTTTCCGTTACAACGGAGAATTAAGCGTAAAACAGTCATGATAAGAACAAAATAAGATATAAGAAGTGGAAATGAGAATATTTGTTCAGATTTAACATCAGAGCAAGTTGTGATATAGACTATGATAACGTGAGAGATTTATCGAACTGCTCTTTTATACATACGACTATGTGAAACTGTGGATGAAAAAAGTCAATGTACGGTGAAGTAGGTTTAAGAGTAAAACTGTGATGTTTTTGTGTATGTATTTTAGAAAATTTGGGACATTTTTCATTAAACTTTTTATTGTTCGATAAGTGTGCGATATCAGGGATTCTCTTATATGTTCTTGGATTACGTAATGGATGTGTAGTGGTATTTAATGTAATTTTCGCTGGAGATTCCATTCCAAGACCTAACATCAATGTTTGCAGTTTTCGTCCGGCATTTTCAGGTGCGATACATTGTATTTATAACAGACAGATGTCGATAACATAACACTAGTTAGAACTACATTCAGTAAACAAAAATGCCCGAAAATGATGGACACTATATACATATTGAACAGTTATTGCAGGAAACTTACTTAGACATATATATTTAAAAAACTACTAAACTTTAATCATATAATCCATCGTTTGAACAACAGGATAAGTTTTCCACCTTTTCCAATTTTGACTTAATGAAGGAACATGCTGAATAGAAATGCTGGACTTTTAGAACTACTAAATAGTTGTATCAAGATACTTTTATATTTCATGTACTATAAGCTTCAATTTGATTCGCGAACTGATGTTTTACCCTATGTATTTATTGTTAACTAATTACGAACCTATTATTCAGTTTTTCTTTCTTTACGGAGTAGTCTTGTACAAATCATAATTTCCCAATTGCATTGCACTGTGGTTAAGTGTTATGAGTGATCTGTACAATAAAAGCCTTATTTGTTTACCGTGCTCGTATTTTGTGTCACTATTGGGCTATAGAGGTACGCTGTGTCTTGGACCAATATGCGTTAAGATATTCATAAATGAATTGCTCCTTTAATTAACGACCTTATTACACAATAAAAGAAATTATTATTTATAAATCACAACAATATGAACATTGTCATTTATTTTTTTTAAAATAACACATTGATAGTAACAGTATAGATCCACTTATGTATGAGTGGTATAGATTTTAATTCAACATTACAGCGTATATATATATATATATATATATATATATATATATATTTGTATGCACTTGTTATTAATAGAAAAAAAATCAAGTTTATACAAGAACAAACTGACAAAGTGCAAGTACACAAAACAACAAGTTAATGATTACAATGACAAAACAGAGACATAAATATAATAAACAAGTATTGAAGAGACAAAACATAAGTGTGTACATATATATAGGATATTATATGAAATGAAAACTTCATAAAAGCAAGTAAAAGCATTGACATATATACACAAATATGTGTATTTTCACAGTTGAAATGACGAGTCGATTTAGGTTAGACCACCATTAAAGCACTAGACGGCCGTTTCGTCCTAGTATGGGACTTCTCAGCAGTCCGCATCCACGATCCCGAAACGACCATTCAGTTTTTCCAGGTTTTCAACGGTGGTGTAGGTTAGATCGACTCGTGATTTCAACTGTGAAAATACTACTATCTATCTATCTATCTATCTATCTATCTTCTGTCTCTCTCTCTCTCTCTCTCTCTCTCTCTCTATATATATATATATATATATATATATATATAATGAAGGAGTATACATGCTATAAAAATTTTAGATTTCATTATAAACTTGCGTAAAACAACGGTAAAATTCACCACTGCTAACTAACGTAATGGAAAACCGACGACTTGAGTGTCATGTGTAGTTGTAGTAGAAAAAAGACGAGTGAAATATTTATTCGATGGTTGTAGCATAAATGATAATAATGTTTGTCAATGTAACTAACTGATTATATATGAGTATGGTGACAAATATAATTTGTTGATTTAAAAGTTGAATGTTCATTTTTATTTAGATAGAGAAAACGCAAACAGAAAAGAAAAACTTTGGTAGAGATGGTTTGTAAATGAAATATTAACAAAACTACATCAGTAGCAAGTAGTATATGTAGACATACTTACATACATTTAAACACGGATATATACAGTAACAATCGGGGTGGAGGCATGAAAGACTGAATCAACAAATAAAAATTTTACTTAACAAGCAGACATACACACACAATAAATTTTTATTTATTATAGCTCAACAATAGTTACGATAAACTCTATTTCTGCAAATATTTAGTTGTATTTCAATATCATATACAATGAGTAAATGAACTTGAAAATATAAGCTACAATTAAAAAAATAAAACAAAACAGCAAAAAAAGATAGGATATCTATGTATACAAGAATAAGTTAGTTTAGGCGTTACCATCTATATTTAAATAAACCTAACAATATAGTAAACAAAGAAACATACACACGAAGTAACATATATATTTATATGTGAATACATCAATATGTAAATACCACCAGTGTACTACTTCTACTACTGCTGCACACAACAAAACTGTTTTAGAAAAATAACTATGAATATACTGATAATAGAAAAGGTGTAGCATAAGTAGAGTATATTATGTTACAACAGCGATAATAATAACCAGTTCTATGCATTTATGATATATATATATATATATATATATATATATATATATATATATATATATAACACTAATAGTTAACATGTTCATTTACTTTTCAGCGTAACAACTAATAATAACCATTAACTCAATCAATAAATTCAGCATTGAACAAATAAAAAAATGATTGAAATTTTGAATATATTTTGATAGCAAATAAGCTCAAATGGAATTGTATTTAGTAGATGGTAATTTATAAGGTTTAAAACTATGATCATGTAGTTATATGTTGAAACGTGATACAAACAATATCGTAAATATTGGACGTTACCAATTGAAAAGAAAATCAAGGTGGAGAACACTTTTACAACCTTGAAAAGTACAAGATATATGCAGAATATGGATTTTTTTAGACAAACAAGTAACCAAACACACACATACAATTAAGCATAAGCTCACAATAATAGTAACAATCAGTTTTTAAGTAAAAAACAACATTAACAAATGATTTACTATGATCAGTGTTAATTCATGTTTTTTTTTATAAATAAAAAAGTGAATTGGTGCAAATGCCGTTCTAAAATAAGAAGTGCTTCGATAATAAACCAATATGGTGGAATATATATCTACTCAAACGGAAGATAAAGACCATTCAATAAGAAACAAAAACCCACTATTCATTCTGTCCACACAAAAAAACTATTTTTTTCTACCTCTCAAAAAAAAGAACTCACCATGAATTCGATTACGATTAGGATTGTAAATTAAACAGATAAATCCTACAATACCCGGTTGAATAGGATTAGATAAACGATAAGTGGATGGTGATAAAATCCCCAATGGTATAATCATTTGATTTGTTTGTGTTGACAGTAATGCGCTTAAATTGCTAACATCATTAGAATCCTTGGAATAAATAGAAAAACAAAAGATAATGAATAGGTAAACAGTAATAGTTATCAGCTAATTAACAAGTTGGCACACAAAACGACACAATTTTCACATCATTAGAGAACATATATTTTTAACAAAATAATAATTTTAATTGTCGATTAATTTAATTCATATTTCCTATTTAAAAAAAAGAAAATAATTTTAACTCATGAAACTATGTATTTTATTGGTAATTACAAATATTACCTTGAACAATCAGGACAAAAATGGTCAGAATATACAAGTGGTGGAAGTTAAGTGTTATGGTGATATTCACTTGAAATTGTTATTGTTTTTCATCTTAGTGACAACCAGTAGAGAATGGTACATTTGACCAAAAGTAGTTAATATCAAGTAGTAAATTTATTTTACAGCTTATTTACAGATCAGCATTTTTTACTTATTTATTGGTGTTACTATTTTTTTTCAATGAACAATTTTAGACTATTTTACACGAACACCTTTATGAAGATTTTAACTAAGCATTACGTAAATTTTAGAAGCCAATGAATACAGAATGTATCTAATATAAAAATCTAATTAGCACAACCATAATCTTATAGCTAGCATTCTACACTAATTTTAAAGGTATGAAAAATGAAATAATAAACTACAGTTGTTCTCTAAAATGAATCCTTCTTTTAGTGTCCTGAGTGAATATTTCGAATGATTAGTTGAATTTAGGAAGTGAATAATGATTTACCTGTGTTAAGGTATACGAACATCAAAGTTAGAAATAATTCGTGACATAGTAAAGATGTAGCATGAGATCATCGGTTCTTGTTGAAACCCTTCATATATTGCACAGAAAGTTCACAATCCATCACAGTATAAAAAATTCACATTGATTTTAACTAAACCAGTGCATTCGCTGTGTGCTGACAATGTAAACGTGTTACCAAATATAGAGGTATATAAACTGATATTCCAAACTTTCATTCATATAAAAATAACCTTTCATATAATCTAAAAATAAAACCTACTATTGAACAATATCAAAAGAGTATTTAAGCTCAATCATTTTCTATATGATAGATTTATCACTGAAATATAATTAAGATCATCCTTATACAAATGACTGTAGTATGAATGAATAATTTGATTAGTTCAATTTCAATAAGTAAGCATAAGTTTCTGTATTATGTCTTAAGTCACTTTATTTATGAAGAAACAAAATTAGATAAACGACCACTAGGCTGATAGATTAACAATTAAGAGTTAAAATGCATTACGAATGTACAACATAAAGATTCAAAGTTCAATATTAAATTAAATTTGAGTTTATATATATATATATATATATATATATATATATATATATATATATATATATATATATATATATATATATATATATATATATATATATATAATACAACCATTTAACACAATTATAAAATATACAAATATATTATAAAAACATTTAAGATTGGATGCACTCACAGGTAAATCGACTAATAAACGAGCTAATAACTGACCATTACCAAGTGGACTTGATAGACGTTCAACCAATAGACTATCTCTACAAGCTTGAATAATCGATAATTGTGCTACGGGTCCCCACATTTGTAAATTTATTTGACTTGAAGTATATGTAATAAAAAAAGAAAATATATATTGCTTAGTTACGATTACAATGCAATTTAGGTTTATTACAATAATCATGTGATCTCTATTCATATACATCTGTTCAAGTTACTATATCACATATTAGGACAGTGAAATGAATACCAAATTAGTAGAAGTGGTATTAGTAACATTAAAGATAGTAAGATTGGGCATAGAGAATATTATTTGAAAAGAAGAATTAATTCATATCTGGGCATTATTTTACGATTAGCTTTCAAAGTTGTACTTTATTCTTACTTAAAGAAGTAAATCTAACAGCGACTACTATGAATTGCTCAGTGATCGTACGAATATTCTTAATGATACATAAATGATGTCAAGAGAAGGAAAAAAAGAAACATTTGAATGAAACCATTAAATTTTGCTAAAAATTGGTCTTGTAACTGTATAGGCCAGATGATAAGGATGAATAATGCGCCAAGTAAATAAGTAGAGTTTTTTTTTACAAAAAGTGATAGATATTTATCGGTTTAGGAAAAACAAGATATAAAATAGAACATATTAGGTTTTGTGTACATAAAAATTATATCACGTATCCAGTCAAATAATCAACAATATAAGCCAGTATGACAAAGAAAATTATAAAAACTTTTGTGAACATCACAAAAAACTGCATTTAGTTAATAATATTAAACCCTCAAGAGCAGAGAAAGGAAAAAGCAATATGACAGTTTTAAAGACCAAATAAATGATAAATAACAAAATGTAGCACTGTCACCCACTGAATGAACAGAAAAATGTTTGGAAGTGCTAGATATTGCACTGTTATTGAATGTTGAAAAAAAAGATAGCTAGAACTAGGAAGTACCATAATAGAATAGAATTCAGTAAAACAAATGATAACATTGAGAAAATTCAACAATCAAAATGAAAAAAAGAATGTTGTAATTGTAACAGCAACAGTAAACATACAAGTATATATAGGAGACAAAAAAGGATTATTAGTGTGTATTTTAAAAACAAAAAAAGTTAATCGGACTATTAAATTTTCAAAGCATCACATGCATAACAACCGTCATTATACAACGTCATGAATATGTATTGTTAACTCTCCCATTCACTTCTACTAAGGGGCTATGAAAACAGAAGATGAGTGTAGGTTCAAGACTGATGCACCTATACATAAGTAGTACTGCAGTTAAGCATACAATTATATATGAAAATACAACTTAGTAATATCATTCAAATAGACATTTACAAATCTATTTCTCAGTGAATTTACAGTGTTTGATGTTGCTACGCATTACCTAATAGTTGCATTAAGATAACTCTGAGCTTCAATAAACATCAGTCAGGCAGTAATTAACAACGTAGAAATTCGTACGTACGTACATCAGTTCGCGTTGCAATACCACATTAGCACAGAGATGCAGTTGTCCATTCAAATCCCATAGCAGTGGAGGTAGTAAAAGTATAAGCAGTAATCGGAAACATTAGGGTTTGAAGATGCTATTCAAGGATTATAATTCAGTGAAATAAATTTGGAAAGAGAACACAAGGGACATGACAAATTCAGAAGATAAGAATTTGGGAGAACATAAAGAGTTGATGTACCTGCACCATTGCAAACAATTTTGAGCCATGTCATTCAGGGTCTCTAACCATCAGTTGCTGTCATCTCACGGTCCCCAACCAGGTAGTCTACACCTACCGACATGACTCAGTCCACCTGTCAGTGACTTCATGGACTTGTGCCATGTTTTGATCTGGCCGCCCCTAGCTTTCTTCCAACCTACTCCTATACTATTGAACATCGTACGTCGAGGCATTCGGTGGTTGGGCATACGTAACACGTGTCTCATCCATCTCAATTCATGAAGTTTTACTACTTCATCAATTGATTTGCCATCCTTACCTATTACCCGTTTCCTAACAACTGAGTTACTTATCCGGTGGTCCCAGGATATACGAGCAATGTTTCGAAGACACCTATGATCGAATACTAGTAACCTACGAATATCCTATACTCTTACCAGCCACGTTTCACTGTCATAAAGTAGGACGGAACATACTGCTGCGCCGGAAACACGTACTTTGGTCGATAGACGGATATCTCGCCCACGCCATAAATGACGTAAGTTGGCAAAAGCTAGTCGAGCCTTCTGTATCCGTGCTGAGATTTCGTCACACACCAGACCACAAGGGCTGATGAGACTTCCAAGATAAGTGAAGCAGTCGACACACTCAACTACTTCACTCCCTATCATTAGTTCGGGTGTCGATGCAACCCAATCAATCCTGGAAGTAACATTTTGCACTTCGAGAGGCAGAATCGCATCCCGAACATGCTTGCATTGTTGCTTAGAGTGGTCAGAAGACTCTGCATTTTGTCAGCGTCTTCACCAAATAGAATTATGTCATCGGCATATTCTAGGTCAAAAAGTGAATATCCCGGTAGAAGTTCAAACCCTGCAAATTTAAATGAGGAAAGTGTCATCTGTAAAAGCATGTCAATGACAAAGTTAAACAAGAATGGAGAGAGTGGACAGCCCTGACGAACACCACTTGAGGTAATCAATTCTGATGACAGTTCGCCATAAACTCTTACTCTACCAGTTGTGTTCGAGTAGAGAGTCTTTATAAGGTTGATGTACTTCTTTGGTACTCTATTCAGTGACAAACACTATCACAGAACCTCACGATCAACAGAGTTGAATCCCGTCTCAAGGTCGAGAAATACTACGATTGTGGGGTGTCTGAATGAATGTCTATGTTCTAGAACCTGACATGGTGTGAACATCTGGTCCATACAACCACGTCCAGGTAGGAAACCAGCCTGGTTTACTCTAATCTGCTCTTCACGAGCTTTGGTTAGGTGTCGAAGTAATATTGAGGCTAATATTTTAGACACTATATTAGTCAAAATGATTCCTCTGTGATTGTCACAAGACGACTTTTGTCCCTTCTTATAGACTGGCACAATCAGTGATTGAGACCAGTCAGATGGGATTACGTCCAGTTCCCAAATTCTATCTAGGACCTTAGTTAATCTCACTGCTAATACTGGACCGTTATCCCTAAAAGTCTCAGGGGTAAACCTGTCAGAGCCTGCTGCTCTCCCTCGCTTCAGATTTCCTATAACTTTTTCAACTTCGTAAAGAGACGGAGGACCTACATTAACTTGCCATTCAGGTTGACTGGAGATCGTGGGAAACCGAAGTGTGGCTGGAGGCCAGTTGAACTGATCCCTAAAGTGTTCTGCCCATCGATCTAATTTCCTGGATTGAGAATGTATAAAATGTCCATCTTTCTCTGCGATTGTTTCGCTAACAGTCGGGTTCCTAATACCGGTTTCCTTAACAAGTCTGAACAGTCGTCTGCTATTACCTATTGTTGCTGCCTTTTCCACCTCTCTTGCTTTCGCTACCCACAACTGTTCGCGATCATTGCGTAGGCTTCTTATCAGCTTACGCTTAAGCTGACTCCGCTCTTCGTTATGTTCAGAGCCAGATGGGGTGAGTTTTCGAGCATCTATCAGTGCGGTAGAGGCTGCTCAGATCCAGTGTTGCTCCCTAACCTTATGGTTTACCGTACTAGCAGATATCACTGATGTTTCCACAGCTTTTCGGATATCATTCCATGCTGCCTCGAGATAGGCATCACATACATGGCTGCCTAACTGTTTTCCTATTTGTTCCTGAAATATATTCTTAGCTGGACTATCATTAGGTAGAACCCTAAGAAGTTGCCTTGCATCGTCTTTCCTACGTCCAGTAAGACACAGACAAATACGCGCTCGCACTAGAGCATGATCTGAATCTAGGCATGTGCTCCAGAATGAACGACAGTCTTCTATCGAACCCCTTCATCGGTGGCTGATAGCGATGTGATCTATTTGGGTCCAACGTTGGGACGAATTCAGGGGTCGTCATGTCAAAAGATGTTTTTCCTTATGCTTAAAGTTAGTATTCGTAAGAAACAGGCAGTTATCTGAGCATAGCTGCAATAGACGGTCGCCATTATCTGTTCTTTGAGCCACGACGCTAGAAGATCCACCCAGGTGTCTTTCCCTTTCACTTAAGTTTACCTACTTGAGCATTAAAGTCACCAGCCACTATTACTACATCCGAGCGCCTAGCTTTTCGGAGAAGGTCGGAAAGCTTTCTGTAAAACTCATCGTTTACATCATCTGAGCTGCAGTCAGTGGGAGAATAGGCAGGGACGACGAAGAGGCAACGACGAGTGTCCCTATCTTTCCGAGTCCTTATTGTTCCGTTTAGTTGGACAGCGCACAAACGACTGTCTACTGGGATCCAGTCTAAGAGAGCTAGTTCTGCCCACGAAATGAGAATCGAGTTGGTTCTTTATTTTGACATGGTGAGGTCAAATGAATGACGCTACTCGGATCCTGTATGCGTGTTTCGGAAACACAGTGCACATCGATGGCGCGAGATTCTAAAGTCCTAGATAAAGAAGCCTGTTGTCCTATTCGGCACAGTGTTCGGACGTTAAAATATCCTACGTGTGTTTAGAGCGTGGTTTCAGGAGACCAGAAATAACGTTCTGCGTACTCGAGTCGTTTGCCTTAGAGGTGAGATGATAAAAGAACGTGGGAAGGGTTAGTGGAGGAGATAAGAGAGTTGTTAGGTGTAAGAAAGATTTTATCGTGACCAACTTCATCTCGTGTGCTGTTACCGGTATGAGGGCTGATGTGATTGGTCAATCTATAAAAAAACTATACGATGTTGCAACACGGATTCCGGCTCCATGAGGAACACCTTTGTAGTGAAACCGAGATTCAAAACATCCTGTCAGTTGCCTAAGAGTGGACAGTAAAGGGATTTGCAGTTCAAAGATAGATTTTAACCAATCATATAGTCAAATATGTTTTTCAGCAAAAAAGCAACATCATAACAGATGTGAAATCAAATAAGGCAAAGCATATTTTTGCATACCTCACATCACGTATGGCACATTGTTCTAACAGTAGGCGTAGTGGAAAACGATTAGTCATAGACATACCATTTGGATCAGCAAGATGAATTTCGCCTTCCCAAAACACAGATCTAGGTGGACACAACTGTGACTGTTGTTGAGTTATTTGAGACGATTGATGGACAGATATATTTGTATTAGCTGGAATATGTGACCGACGATGATTTTGTTGTGAAATAGTCATACTGGGTTGAGAAGGTGGATTCGATGAATGCTGTACTACATTACTATCATTTCTAGTAATAAAATAAACAATAAATGTAAAGAGATATTACTTTCAAATATTAATTGTATCATATAGAAATGTTTTAGAAAAGTGTATTTATAGTGTAGACCAATTAAAACAGATTCCTACAATTTTTAAACAGAAAAGTAATTTAGCGCACAATAATTAATTTTCAACCACGGGGTAGAGAATGTAGATGAAGAGAAATGGAAAGAAATTTAATAGCATTTTCGTTGCATTTTTTAACAAAATATGAAGTGCATGTGTATCATTTATAACACATTTTCAAACTGCAATATTAGCATGTACACTTGTTCAGTTAATACATTAGACGTACAGATGAGACTAGGAAAATGAAAACATTTATGAATTTTGTTAGAAAAGGTGTAAAATTTCCTATTAAAGTCTTTATGATATGGCTCTACAATGAATACATGGTAAGGATAAGTTCACTAGTTATCAGTTCTTTTTCAATCTCATCTAAATCATATTTAATTCGATAATAAGCTCAATTATCTTCTATTTCAAACTTGATATTCAAATATAACACATCATCTAGGAGCTTTGCAAACTGAAAAGCACAGCTCAATCTTGTGATGTACACATACAAGAAATTAAGAACTTTTATGGATCAAATAATACAAAGTGAATAAATTATAAATAATGGGATTTAATAATCATGTAGATGAATAAATTCATACTAGTAGAAAGTAGCTGTTCAGTGTTTCGTGGTTTTCAATCACTGTCTAATCAAAACAAGCTTGTGATATAAATGTTTAAACAATTTGAAACTTTTATTATTATCCTAAAATGAAGTAAATAGATTCATATTAGATAAAGTGGTATAACAATTAGTAGTAGCTCATCATGAATATTATGTTTTAATATCTCTATTTCAATGTTGAAATATAACTAGACAAAGTTGAAGAATAGCATGAAACCGTTTAATTACATGCAAATTTCTAAGGCTTTTTTATATATCATCTACAGTCATATAAAAAAAATTTACCCGAGAAGACATGAAGAAGATTGAGGACTGGATATTTTCATCTGTGGCTGCTGTTGGTGGTGTTGTTGTTGTAAATTATCTTTAGATATATAATTGACATACTGAGGATTATTCAGTGGGCTAGAATTAATTGTTGCATTATTAGTATAAACTGTATTCGTTGGTGTATTAGATCTGGAATGTGTAGTGAAATTTTCATTTGTTTGATGATTGTTTGATGTTGACATTTGATTACTACTATTATTATTACCGCGAATAAACTACAGTTTTAGAAAAATAAAGAGAACACAAACTATGATGAGGAAAGCAGTAATATGATAAAGGTAGGTATATTTCATTTGTACTATGAATAAACAAAATATAAATTTGTTCCTACCTTAAAAATACCATTTAATTAAGAGAAAACATGTACATTCGTATTTATAGTCATATGGAAAATATGTTTATAGAAGGATAGGAAAGATTGCATCATAAAGTGATTCGAGACTCTTATTATCAGATGAAGTTACGCAATAATAAAAGGGTAAAAGACAAATATAAGGCTGGAAATATGAATTATGAAAGATAATTTTTTTCGCTGAATTCTCCTTATTTTTATTCAATGACACAATGGGTTATTTTAATTAAGAGAAAAGGTTTTAAAATGTCTTCATAGTAGAAAGTCAAAAATTTATTTAATTAATTTGAGGTTACGTAGTAAATCATTTATTGTTGTGTTCATTAACACAAACAAAAACATTGATTATAATAACACTATTATCAGAAATAAAGAATACAGCATTATGAAACCAAATAGTCTCATGTAAAATAATAATAATGCGGACAAAAAATTTTAGAGACTTAACTACATTTATAATTAAAATAAAATGTAGGAGTGGGTTTGATTTAATCGTGTAAATACAAACTTACATAATGCATATTCAATCATACTAAAAACGGCAAAAATGTGCTATGAACAACTTATATAGCTTAGTGATAACGTTACAGACTATGACACCGTATGATGTGGGTTTGAATCCAACAAATAGCATCAGCACCTCTGAAGATTCCGGATATGCATTGCCAAAATATCTCCATATAACTTATGACAGACATTTGAAATTTTCAGAGCACTAGCTTGTTGGTTAAGGCGTTCAACTTTTAACCGCAAGGTCGTAGCTTCTAGCCTCACTCTATGTAGTTCGATTTGAGCAGCCGGATAATATCACTAGCCTCAAAGTCCAGTACATGAATCTGTAATTAATGATTTGTACGGTATCATGTCAGAAAACAAAAAAAGTAATTCACTTTAAATTTTATCTTTATCCAGAAGCATAAATATACCTAATAAATGAGCAAGGTGAGCAAGAACTGCAAAGAAGATTGGTAAGTTGATTAAGTACCGAAAGAAAATCGTCAACTTCTAGATACTGATGAAATGTTTACGTCAAAGTCTGCTTATTTTTACAAAGTGTATAGCCTAAATATTCCTCATGGAATTATTGAGTATATAGATATGTTGTTCTTGTTATTATTATTATCGCAAAAATTTGTGTTTCCCCATTGATATATTCAAATAAGCTACTTAATTAAAAACAGGTATAATGAACATTAAAAGGCATATTCATATTCTGGGTAGCGGCTAATGAATAAATGATGTGCACCGGTTTTTTTAAACGACATGTATCGATTTTGAACTTCAGTGAAAACATTTTCGTAGACGGATATATATCCAGTCGACAAGTTCCAAATATGATGAAAAGAGTAACCTGGACACCACTTTGATCGCTACTGAAAACACTAACTTGTTGTGCAAACGAAATTACAAGGGAGAATATATTTTAGATGTAAAAAGTTGTTTAACTTCGATCACACATCTGTAAGTTCAACTTGACAGTATTAACTTTGGAATGTAGTTGTGTGAATGTGAACAGCAAATGTCATGAAAACCAGTACAGATAACTGTAACATCACTGAACAAAATACAGTTGTAATAAACAGTTTATAGCGATCGTAAATTAGATGAATACTATTCTCAGGGTATGATGTAATAAAAATCCACAAAATCACTGGATACCAATTATGTCCAGGCCAACAAATGCAGATATCTAAGTTGGAAAAATTAAGAAAACTGAAAGCCACGATGGAATAACTTGGAAAGAATTCATTTAAACTAAATTATGTTAATGTATAACAAATTGTGTTAGGAAAAAGAACTAAATGAGACGTATTAGGAATGTTGGGAAACAACCAATGTGATCACGTTTTACCAAGCTAGTAAAAGATAGTTGGATATGAATACGGATGTCTTACTAGCCTTGGTAGGTTAGTAGATAACGATGAATTCCCTCCGTTGATATGGCGATACGATGAGGTAACTCAACCAGATGAATAATTGTGTCACGTTACGTGTGTTAAGTTATCTAGAATTGACAAACTGACTGAATACAAAGATAAAAAGCTACGTCTGGTAAAATCAGCCTGAATAAATGATCTTGCTCATTTTAAAAGTGATGGGAGAGATAGAGAAGAGTTCATGATTTCCTTGGTTCATGTACAGACACACATCTGCTGACTGAATTTCTTCAATTATATAAAGCATCCAAGTAGTAATGAATAAATATTTCCACTTCATAAAATAAGCAACAACAACAAAGTGAATGGTATATAGAAAAAAAACTTAATCCATTGAAAACAAAGCGGGAAAAACCAATATCAAATAACAATATTTTTCGGAATCAATAGAACAAAAAGTCAAGGAGACAATGAAATAAACATAATAAAATGACAATATACAGCAATAACAAAAAAGATTGAAGATATAATCGATAAGGATTGAAATCAATTTATATATATATATATATATATATATATATATATATATATATATATATATATGAGCATACAACTTACAAGATTAATGAAACGATTTTTTCACAAAGAAAACAAAAAGATTGAAATCAGAATAGGAAGGAAGATTATTTATACTCTGTCAATTTATATATTATTCTATAACAAACTTATAAAATTACCTTATTATAGTTATAAAATATAACGTCAATAATGGGAGGTACAAAGTGTTTAGATCTATACTATGCATGCAAACAGGTTTGTGTGAACTGCGATTGTAGACAACATTAGAAAGCAAGCTCATTATTGTTATAGAGTTATGATAGAAGAATTTTGTTTAACAAGGTGGTGAAAAATGTTTATCAGACATATATACATCCGGAAAAGAGTAGTAATGCTTTTCTAGACGTTTATCAAATAGCAAGTTACCATTAAGATCCCCTGCCTGTAATTTTGAAAATAAAGGATATAAATGTGCACGTCTACGACTTTTTCATTCATCGAATTATAAGAACATTATAATCACCATTAGATAAATGAACTCCACGCTATTCGGCACACAGAGATTACTTATTTAAGCCCAGTAGCTAAATACTAAGATAAAGAATTGTCGAATAAAAGCATGAGTTAGATCATCTAGTAAATTGTTAGCTACTTAGATAAGATCCACTTAAATCAATGTTTAGGGAGTGCCCTACAATTATATATATTGGTTATCTAATTGTAAACATTACACGGACTGATACTATTAAGCCGTGCAACCTTAAAAATATTAAATTTATGAAAATACGACAAAGGTGTTATCGAAAATTCCATTAAGAGAAATACGCAACTGAACTCTGTTTATTTAATAATGAATGAAAAACAGTGAATTAATATTTGTGGGTTATGTGTAATAATTACATTTTGAAGCACAGAAATTATACAGATCTTTTTAGTTATTTGTCTTCACACCGTTAAAAATACATTGTTTTATCACATCCAAATAGCTTTAAACTCTTGTATTATTTTGTTCTAATTTGAAAAAGTGGTCTGCATAAACGGATAGAGACACACATATATGTAAGATAGTGGTGTCTGACGTACATGGCATTCCAACTGATAACTAGCTGAAAATAGGTTATAACTGACAAGTTACTGTAAGGACCAGTGAATGGAAAGACAAGAAATTAATAGAAAATACCCGAAAACCGGAAAATAAGGTATCTGTAATTTGTGGTTAATATTAAAGAACATTTAGGAATGAAACAATCAGTTGTTAACTATTAAATGCGACTATTATAACTAAATAACTTCCGAAAGATGAAAGATACTTCATTACTTTTTCCTCTATAATATTATTATTTATTAAAGAAACAATCTAATGAAAAGTGCCGAAAAGTAACATAAGCTAGCAAGCAGAGAATATAGATTATTCTAGAGGACGGTCAATACAAAAGAGATTATGAGATCATACTTTGGATTTACTGACGAAATGGGAGATCCAAGTTATCATAATTATTCAAACACATAAACACTGGTACAAAGGAGCACCAAATACATATGCATCACACAAGTCATTTGATTTGTGCGTCGGCTGTGATACTGCTCGGATGCTCAGACCGAAGTAGGTGGTTTTATTAGGGGGCCACTCCCAAGCCTTTGACCTATGGGTCTAATATACAAGATAGTGGAACAACGTTAGGATATGCAGCCCCAAGGTAGCCAATGATCAACGGTTGGTTCATACGCCATTTGTTCCTTCAGGATACAGAAGCCCATGTGCACCATTGGTTTGGGATCAGAGTTTTGCAACTCCCCTAGATGGACCCTCCGTATCCACCAACTCTGTTAGAGCGCCTGACGTTCACTTTTTGTCCTCTCAATCCGCTTTTCAAGAGTATTCAAAATAAATGAAAATACTTCCTTCTACAATTTTATATGACTAATTGAGAACTGGATCCAGTACTTTACCTTAATATAATAGGTTGAAAGATTAGGCTATTTAAAATATGCGGTCGGCTTGATATGTGTGAAATAGCTTATTTTTATGTTAACTTCCGTCAGTACAGTTCTAATCCATAAAACCTTCCGACATCCGATTTATGAACATCTATTTTGTTTAAAACAGGTGTACCTTGAAGAGATTACTAAACAAAATCATCTCTAACTATTATGTGGTTGTGTATATTAGTTAATAACATTTCCCATTTCTTCAATTCATTGAATACTAAACCAAATACCTGAGAGTGAATTGGTTTTTGAGTTCCTCCAGGACAAGTTAGACGATTTTGAGGAGAACCTTGTTGTTGATGAGGTGTTAGTTGAGGAGAATATTGTTTGCTAGGCACACGCGATGAACACGGTGAAGATAGACCAGAAGTGTTCACTGTGGTTGGTATAAATTGTGAACTGGGTGAGGGCGCATTTGATGAAGGCCGAAAAGAATTTTGTAGTAAATTAGGTGAAGGTGCAGTACCAGGCATTACCTTTGATGTATTTTGATCGTATAGAGACTGTTGATTCTGATATATATGACTAGTGTTATGATGATAGGCATTGTATGAAGACTGAATTGAGGATGGTATTAGTTGATGCGAATGTAGTCCACCAGAACCTAGTGGAGAATGAAGCTGGGATGCTGGATGAGAATTGTTAGCCACCTGTAAAGGTGATACAGTTCCAGTTTGGGAGGCATACATTCCTTGAGGTGTAGCTACTGAATCAGAGCCATATACACTTCCAGGTGTTTGATCAACCGAATTGGGTCCAGAATGACCAGCTGATAGTGAGTTTGCCAATGGTGTAATACCCTAAATAAAATGAAATCGATATTAATTAAAAAATGAATTCTTATCAAAACGTTCAAAAACTTTCTTGACTTCAAATGACTTATATATGACTGAGTTCTTAATTAAGCTGAAATACTGTAAACCACGTCGTTTTTTCCAAAAGAAAAAAACTCATATAGAAAAAAAAGTCTGTAATATAGAATGATTCACAACTTATGGATTATTCATGCACAAGTTTGATTCAGCACTGGACTTTTTGACATTAGAGTTCGGAAGAGACGGAAAGAAGCATTCAATTGCGATCAAAAAGAGATATAACATTGATTCATATTATTAATTGGATAGCCTTTGTAGTTGTGTTCAAATCAGCAGTTGAAAACTGAAGGTGATATGTCTAAAAATTGATTAGTGAGGCTGACGTAATTTCTCCCGTAACTGATATAAATACAACAGTATTGCAATACGGTGTATTTTTTGTATCATCTTTAACTGTCATCTTTGCTAAGAAGTGATGATTGTTCTTCCTATTTCTCATTGGTGTTTCCTATGAATTCTATAGTTTTGGAATGTCATTAGTCCGAAGCATGAATTGTCTTACTGAAGTCAACACGACACGGATTTGAATAGCAGGATCTATCAAGATCTTATAATAACACGCTTATAGTGAAGGATATGGAGTAGACAATCAAATAACAATATGTACGACAGGAAATTGGCAAATACTTATGAGCACAACGAAGTTAGGTTTTCAAAGCAATCAGTAAATCCTTACAATCATACAGATGTAATCTACCCCACATACTTTACAAGTTCCAGTGATACATATTAAGAACATTTAGTGTCAGTTTAAAGGCAAAATGTGTCTATGAGAAATAATAACAAGTAACACAGAAAGCTCTTTATAATGCGCGAAGAATGTACAATTACTTTCGTTATACAATAAGTGTAACGTGCTAGTGAACTCTTATATTGGATAGCATTTTCGTGTTAAATGATATTTTGGTCGATTAACGCGTTGAAAGTTGATTTATGAATTCTTTTAGAATAAATTATTAGAAACGATTGTAAGAAATTCACCACTAGAAATTAATGAAAACCATGGGTGTGACTTTTACTTCATTTTGACAAAATACGTATATTCCAAAAAGGCTAAGTGACTTGTACAGTCAAAAATTGCAAAACTTTTCTAATGAGAACAGATTGAAAGTTTAGTTTAAGTATAAAAATGAGAAGATGGTAGATTTATCAGACATCAGTTAATGGTTATACAATCACACTTCGATTGAAGTAAATATGTGATAAAATTTATCTTTTCACATGTCCTCACCTTTCCAATGTAAGGATATAATAACGATTTCCAATTGACCCTGTAATTATAAGTAGTATGAAACAGAAAAATACTATAACTTAGTTGAAATCTTCACCAAGCTGGTTAGTTAATTATTCCAACTGGCAGTACTAAAAGTAGGTTATTTTATATAGCCAACAGATATTTTGATGGTCAATGTTTTTTGTACTAAATGTAAAACGCTAGTTTTTCTAATTAAACAGACATTCTAATACAGTTATAAATAAAAATTAAGAAAGGTTAATGTACTTAACTTAGCCTCTACTGATACAAACAACTCAGTGATAATGTTCTCTTTTTTTAAAAACGTGATATCTTTTTCTACACTTACCTGATTATACTCTACCTACAAAATAGATCTTATTTAATGTACATTAAAAAAGTGAAGTTGACATTTAAGAAAGACGAATACAAACATTATCATTAAAATAATATGTTCAGTCAAACATTAAACATTAGAGTTAAGTAAAATAACTGAATTGAAAGTTGAATGGTTATATATATATAGTGTTTATGTTGCCAGCTGATAACTCTTATAATAACTATGATTATTACTTATGATAAAATTAATTATTATCATGCTTATCATTATTTCATCCATCTTAAATCCGCTCAGTGAACTATACATACCATAATACTAAGCATGAAAATGTACATATACATACAAGATCGACTAATTAATTATCTAACTGACCAAATGAACCATTCTCTACATAAAAATCATTAAAGGCAATCAAAAAAGGAAGTAAATTAGGACAAGTATATTACAGTTTGTATGTTTGTCTGCTTTTTATCACATAAAAAACAATAAATTATTTGACTTGTTAGTTTACAATAACATGAAATATTGAGTTAATGGAATATAAGAGAAAATAAAAAGAACACCATGAATAAGTACTACTTTCCATAATGGAATTGTCTAATAATGATGCATTACTATGATTATTTAAAACGATTAGTTGATTGATCAATCACTCACACATTGCAGATCTTGTTTATTGCATATGTATATGGATGTATGTTTTTTTTCGGAAAGATTGAGTGGTGTTCGCTTGTCACAGAATTGTAAGAATTATAACAATAGATATACTAGTAAACATTAAATTAAAGATTTGCATTAATAATCCCAAAGAGAATACTAACTAAGACTTTTCATAGGTTGAAATCATGAGTCAAATGAAGCTAGACCACCATGGAAAACCTGGAAGCACTGGACGGCCGTTTCGTCCTAGTACGGGACTCCTCAGCAGTGCGCATCCACGATCCCGCACCCCGCGGGATTCAAACCCAGGACCTAATGGTTTCGCGCGCGAGCACTTAGCCACTAGACCACTGAGCCGACATCCAACGGTGTTAATGTGTAACTTCAACAAATCCACGAAGTTGCGCCACCGTACACAATTGTCTTCAGTGAGCTGATATCTCACAACAGACCTGGTTGAACTCCACTGGTAACGGCTTCTCACTAGAACTCCAGAAGTATCCCCTGAAGTCAGTCACTAGTGAGCAGTTGGTTAATATCAGAATGGGTTTTTCTATGGTGGTCTAGCTTCAAATGACTCATGATTTCAACCTATGAAATTTGTAAAATAAAACCCACAAAACTCATCCTGGAATTAAAACTTTGTAAAAAAAAATCACCATCAAAAGAGAAGAAAGGGAAAGCAGGTGAATGAAAACTAACGATTGATAAATAGTGAATAAATAGCCATTTCTTAAAAAATGCTATCACTGGAATTTGTGGTTAATGTGATTTCAGTTCAGGTAGAACAAGCAAGATTTGAGAAGAAAATTATTAAATATCCTTATGACAATATAATGAACAGCAAAGGTGATTTAAATGTTAAAGTTGACTCGTATTATTGAGAAGTGCATAGTTGCTTTGTTCTAATTTGAGACTCATCAACATTAGAAAACTATAATATTTAAGGTAACATGATAGCACTGAACGTTTGAATGGAGATGCAACGGCTAACATTTTCCGCAACTTAATCATTCTGATTCGTGACAACTGGAATTTACAATTGTGTATTATCTCCGCGAAACGATAAATAGCATATTTATTGGGTTTTTTTATCTAAAAGTTGTGAATAATGGTATATACTGTACAATATAACAGCATACACATACAAAAACAAGATAAATAGTCTTGTAAAAGTGCCATCGATGACAATGAAATATGCTGAATTAAAATTTAACTTACCTCAACAGATCGTACATTATTATTGTTATTAGTATTATTATTACTCTCTGAACCACCACGACTATTACAAACACTTCGAGCAGAATAATTAGGAACACTAGTTGGTGGATATTGAATAGGTGCAAGTGCCGAAGGATTACGTAAAGGACGTTGATAGGATCCAATGGGTGAAGCAGTAGCACAGAACTATAATAGAAAAATATATTAGCCAATTCGATGTGGATTTATGATCGATCCTTACTGTTATTAACTCACTAAAAAGGCACTTATTCGTGTACTTGGTTATGAACTACATTCTAAGTGTGAGGGCTAGTAAGACCACCTACTTGTCAAAACGAAAATAGTTGGAGCAGGGTCACATCTAGTAAGTAAGTGGTTAAAATCCAAAAACCTTAACTAATTACTCACCGCTCCACTTAATTTATGATACAAAGAAAAAAACAGAAAGAAAACAAAATCCTAAAGAATTAAAAAGAAAGGTTAATAATAGAAAAAATATAACAGACAGTTCACGATTAAAATGAGTCATAACATGTAGTTGTGTATGTAATATTTGTTAACAGGAAACAACTTGACAATGAAAAAAGAAATGAATCCATTTTCAACAAATTTCCTTCAAACGTACGGAAAATAACCAATTGTACATTGCTAAAAAACTATTCGTATGGTACATTAAAATAATATGGTTTTGAATGATTATTTCTGAAATGTTCTAACTAAGAATAAAAGAGGTTGTCAGTGGCACTAGAATTTCCTACTCAATATCAGAGATTGCGATCAAAATGAAAATTCTCTCGTTGAAATAAATGTTTGCAAGTGCCATGACTGAGTTATTCCAACAGTTAAAAATTGTTTAAAGACCTGGAGCGGTGTTTCAACGGATATAATTCAAATTCCAGCCGGTTCGCATGAATAGGAGTGTACAGTAATAAGGACAAAAGAAAAGAAGTGAATTAAGCAATGATTGTCTCTGATGTTACTTTATTTATAAACTCATCAGGTGCATGTTCGTGTACTTGGTTTCGAGGACTAATGATACTACCTGACTGTTCAAACCAAATCAGATGAAATAGGGTTCGAACTTATTGCCTGCTGTCTGGAACGGTATCCATCCAAAACGGTGTACATCATTAAGGGCAAGCACTAATAAGGTCGACCATCAAAACACCTCATATTAATAGTGACAAGCATCAAAATAGGTGGTAAAATTTAAGGGTTTGAAATTTGATTAGTTTGCTGTTTGTGCTTTTGTCTCTACGATCAATCTAACAAGTAATTCTTCAAGCGTTCGACAAAAAGTCTACTTTTAATAAGTACTGTAGTGAAACTGAGAATCTAGTTGACCTGCCTAATAATTAATATGAGATTCTACAGTAGTGAGGTTAATACAGTATGTTTTTGCACTTATTATTCAATATTGTTTTGATATGATGTTCGCAGCCTAGTTATTTTAAGCCCCTGATTATTATCTGTCAGTGAATACGAATTATTTGACGACATAGACCATTAGTCATATGTTTGACAAGATATTCATATTTCCACTTATAATCACGAAAGTTATTAGACGTTAATATTAATACCTTATTAAGAATAGACCACTAATGATAGATCATTTTGCGAATATTTGTGGGGTATCTGAGAAATTTCTTAATTTGTACTTATATTCGATTGATCATTCACTGTTACAATGATAAATTAGAATTACTTAATAAACGATTTTACATCTGTTATGGATGCAGAATAATATACCAATCATTATCATGTTAAGTCTAATGATGTCCTTAGACGTTAAATGGACATTTCCTATTAGCCATTATTTATTTCATTCGATAAATATTGTACAAATGTTGTTTTCTATTTTTATGGTACGATGTGGTCTGTTTGGTTAGTATATAAATAGAGTATGTCTGAAATACAATGATTCATATCTCAGAGGCTGTGACTTGTGTTCTGGACTCAACTGGCTGGGTTAGATAGGGAAGCGGGACCAATCAGGACACTAGGTCGTCCTTACGTGTTATACGCGTCATTGATCCGACCGATAATACACTGCTCTCTAATCTTTCAGTCAAGGACGCAACAATTGGCACAGGGTAGGAGTCGAACCAAGTTTAAAGTCACAACAACATCATATAAGAATACAAAATAGGCATGACTATGATTTATCCTTAAATTATCGTAGCCTTTAGTCTGGAATGCATGCATGAATAAAGTATACAGATCATTTTGTTTAGATTAAAAAAATGAGATATGGTTTTTGAGCATTCATACATATTTAAGTTCTTGTTAAAAATGTGATTTACAATATGAATGTTTATCAATCGGGAAATTTAAGTCAACAAACTTAATTTTACGGAAAACAATTACATCAAAAAAGAATATGGTTGTCAATGCTTTATTCGAATGGAATTATTTTGGCATACAGAATAAGCCGTTGACTGAGGACCAGCATTAAAATGGTTTTTTTTACTCCCAAGTTTATTGTCAGTGGTTAAACAAAAAGCCTCAGAGTGTTTAACTTCAATAATAGACCTCCTTTAATTATTTCCAATTCCATTTACTCGTTCATAGAGTAGGACTTATATAGGTAGGACAGATAGAGGAGATTATCTAAAAGAATATAAAATCACCCGGCAACACCACGAATTTGTCCGTTTCGAAAATTCTTAATAAAAATCCGAATAGTCTGTCGTCAAATAATTCGTATTCACTGACAGATAATAATCAGGGGCTTAAAATAACTAGGCTGCGAACATCATATCAAAACAATATTGAATAATAAGTGCAAAAACATACTGTATTAACCTCACTACTGTAGAATCTCATATTAATTATTAGGCAGGTCAACTAGATTCTCAGTTTCACTACAGTACTTATTAAAAGTAGACTTTTTGTCGAACGCTTGAAGAATTACTTGTTAGATTGATCGTAGAGACAAAAGCACAAACAGCAAACTAATCAAATTTCAAACCCTTAAATTTTACCACCTATTTTGATGCTTGTCACTATTAATATGAGGTGTTTTGATGGTCGACCTTATTAGTGCTTGCCCTTAATGATGTACACCGTTTTGGATGGATACCGTTCCAGACAGCAGGCAATAAGTTCGAACCCTATTTCATCTGATTTGGTTTGAACAGTCAGGTAGTATCATTAGTCCTCGAAACCAAGTACACGAACATGCACCTGATGAGTTTATAAATAAAGTAACATCAGAGACAATCATTACTTAATTTACTCTTTTAATCCATAATTTCATATTAACTATATTTTCTTACTAATGAAATCTGACAAGATTAATATTATGTAAGTTTATTTCGCCCCATGTTTCACACGATATTATTGATCTAGTTAATTTATTTACCTAATTGTTGTACAGCAAGGTTTTTTAATCACTACACGTACCCACATATATATATGTACATGCATTATCCTATTGTATATTTAAATTTGAGGCAACTATGTATAAGCATATACCATTAATTCTGTATACTCATGCATTAAAATATATGTATAATCGCTATTATAGCTTGTTTTCATTAAACAATGAATTGTATTTAGTTTTTCCAACTATAATATAATCAAAAACCAAAACGTGACATCGATCCGTCAAGTCACTAACTTCTGGTCTGGGTTATGTTGGTAGATGAAGACTACTTGGTTGGGGTCCGCGCGACTATCGTAACCAATGGTTGGAGACACTGGGTGACATGGCTTAAAACTCGATCACAATGAAGAAGGTGCATACACTATTTGTTTTCTCTCAAACCGTGAGATTAAAATCGTTTTATACATTTCTTTCTACGAACTAATTCTTTCTCTCTTTATCATATCCTTATACGAAGTGTTTTTTTAATACCACTGAAGTAACCACTTGTATGAATTTGGTATTCATCTTATTACACTAATGAGGTATGGCAACTTGGACCAGTGTGTCTGGTTCTACGTTGTAGCTGAATGACTGACTGACTGAATGATTCGGAAGTGTGATGAACAATAATCGGATACATTTAGTTTGTGAAGAGTATGTTTGGAATTTGGGGGAGTGGTGACCTGAAGATTATACCGCACGGTTCCCAATCAGTGGTTTCTGGTCCCAAGCCCTCCACTTTTATCCATATCGATTGTCAGATAATATTGCTAGCTGCTACACAAAAAGAGTGCTTCAAAGGTGAGTACATAAGCTTTTAGTTGATAAACTTGTTACATAAAACAAATTTAATATTGTTTACGGAATATGAACGACGGTTAAAGGTTTCTTATGATTAAGCAAGAGGATTTGAGTGTGTGATTCAGTTAAATAGAAAATATAATAAAAAAAGAAATAAACTAAATGTGATCATCCATTCAATAATTCGATTGAGATATGTGATTAGTGTGGCTGAACCAAAAATGGACATTTGAACATGATATACCATCTGTGATATTCAGAAGGAAGGATTATTAGTATAGTTAAAAAATAGAGTAAAAATAATACCGAACCTTTTATAAATTCTCTTTATCATCAGTTAGTGACTAAACAGTCCTAAAATCATAATCTCTAATATAGTCCTATAATTTCCTCCTAAAGTCGATATGTTAGATTTTTAGACTTTTCACAGTGAAGGCTTTAAAGCCATCTGCTATGGTTCACATATCTTCTGTATCATTGGCCCCACTACATCAAAACTATGGAACGGCATCAGGTAGTAATTTTCCATGTTCTATATACCATTTCTTAAGAACGTTATATGATTTGAATATCAGGTCTATTTTTCGGTCTCCTACTTTGACTACAAACAAAAGATTTCGTCGGAGGTCTGGTATTCGCACATTTGTTAGCTTCGGAGGTAAATAACGATAATCACGATCAGAGTTGCTAGTTTATTCTGTATATTGCTAGAGACTGAAAAGAAAGGAAAACTCAAGTTGAGACAATGCAGAAGCTAGAGTGATTTAATTCCCCGGAAATACCTTCCACAATTCGGAATAAGCAATGACACATACTATAAAACGACTACTATGAAATGACCATCTAAATCAACATGAATAAGAGAACATAGTTCAGCAGGATTCTCATTGAGTAGTTTCCTAAGAAAAACTTATATGACAATTAGTGTCTGATTTGACTGTCTATCAGAGTTTGCATAATAAATAGGACAATAAGAGTTAACGCGAAAAGTATTATTAGATTAGCTTTTAATCATGTGTGTAAACAGAAACTTAGACAAATGCTACTCGTTAATTAAAAAATAAAGAGATTTAATCAAGTCTTTTCTCATAATAATTGAATAATTAAACAGGTATCTTCACTGTTTACAACTCATTGTTCTAATGTAAGGCTTGTCTTTTTTAACTGTTCAACCTTGAAACAAAACGACTGTCTTAAAACTCTTTAAATTTATGATACTCACAATCCAAACATTTCATATCATTGACAATTGTCTACACGATATCCGTCAACAATAACAGAAAATGATATGAAGAAATCAATTAAAACAGTAGGAAAATGGGACTATAATTATTATTCACCTAATTTTCAATTAAAGATATTTTTGAAAACTACTATATATATCAAATACCTGAGTAACTGCCATAGGTGATAAACCGTCGTTTGTGTACTGGGACGAACTGTTTCCACCACAAGAATTAGAATCAGTACGGAAAGAGCCATCTGTCGCTATGGTTAGAGATGAATTCGAAGTAATGGGATAAGCAGACGTTTCTGTACAGTATGTGGATTGTTGTAAGTTCTGTTCCTGAACTGGATATTTATTATTACTGATAACAACGCAACGATTATTTAAACTGTGATCGCTTGTAAGTGCACTTGTATGAGACGGAGGATGAGAATCGTCAATTATTCTATTGGAATGTCCATTTGTGAGTGTCTGTTTAGAGAAAATCTGTTTATGCTCGATGATAGACAATTCAGCTTCAGTTTGAGCATGAAAAGCTGCAGCCATAGGACCGACAATTCGTCTTTCAGGTATATCTGATTCTAATAGTTTGTCTAGTATGAATAAGAAATTGGAAATACTATTGAGTGGAAACTATCGAGATGGGAAATAAAACAATTTAACCAGCAACAGAGTACCGAAAATTCCTAAGCATATTATTGTACCAGTAGGAACAGGTTCGAAAAAACAGTTCAGCATAAGTGCTGACGCAAAGTTATCACCGATTTCTTCGAAAGGAATGTGGAATAGTCATATGTTTGCACTTGAAATATAAATAAATAATTAAATAAATGTGAGGATGTACTCAATCAAGCTTATAACTTCCAGAATGAGTTAATAATGTTACTACTTGAAAGTTTAAATTCACAGTCTGATTTCAAGTTTGGTCAACCACAAAATTTACTGAGTTAATGGTCGACTTAACCATCGATACTTCATTTCTGTCATTTTAGAAGGCTTCTACTGAAGATTTATTTATTCAGTTAATTAATTTACTGTTCCGTTGTCCTAATGTAACGTATCATAACTGGAATTGATGTTTTTTATTTATTTATTTGAACACGTAAATATCGGTACAAAGGAGCACCAAATACATATGCATCACACAAGTCATTTGATTTGTGCGTCGGCTGTGATACTGCTCGGGTGCTCAGACCGAAGTAGGTGGTTTTATTAGGGGGCCACTCCCAAGCCTTTGACCTGTGGGTCTAATTTACAAGATAGTGGAACAACGTTAGGATATGCAGCCCCAAGGTAGCCAATGATCAACGGTTGGTTCATACGCCATTTGTTCCTTCAGGATACTGAAGCCTATGTGCACCACTGGTTTGGGATCAGAGTTTTGCAACTCCACTAGATAGACCTTCCGTATCCACCAACCCGGTCAAAGCGTCGGGCATTTGCTTCTCGTCCTCTCAATTTCGTAAACAACACCCCTGCCGCGAGAAAGGAAGTGAGTAGAACTTCCCTGGTGGTGGGTGTATACGCGTGGCTATGTGAGGGCACTTCGAAAGGAAGAGCTGACTCTCCCCACCCTCGGCCGTACCAGGGCTTTTGGGGGCAAGCTCACACTATTCTATCTAACTGCAGTGACATTGTCTCTGACAAGGCGTCATTAGTTTACTATTATTACTAAAATATGTGCTCCTTTAAGCAAAAAATAAGGAAATTATAGATAAAAGGTTTCAGAATCAAAATGGCATAAGTTTGTTTGCGAAATCCTGAGGTGTATTGCATAGATCTACTGTTACCTACAAATCCTTTTGTGTCCATGAAGCTTACACATATGACCAAATGGGAGGCAGTGATGGCGTTTGTTGCCGTAGGAATAAGCTGGAAGAAAGCTATGAGCGACAAAACCAAGGAATGTTATCAGTCTATAGAGTTAACAATTGTTATTTTGGGTTACGCTGGTAGATATAGACCATCTGGTTGGGGTCCACACGATCATTATAACAAATAGTTGAAGACTTTAGGTGAAATGGAACAAAACCGTCCACAATCACACAGGTGTATTCACTCTTTATCTTCCACCTTACCTCGAATTTCAGCATTCTTTCATACACACTTTATTACTGTCTTTTCGAATGATATTAAAAATGTTCAATGGTTTTTACGGTTAGTGATACTAGATTATTCCGAAGTTCATCATGGTATATTCATCTCGTCATGCTAAAGTGTTATAGTAACTAGAGGAAACACACATCTTTGTGAGGCTCAACATTGATGATGACTGAGGCAGCAACATTTATGATGCAGTTTTCTTGACTATTTCCCATAACTTTTGTTCTTCTATAAATTCGCAATGACTTTAATATTGTTTAGTGGGTTAAATATTCTGATATTGAATGTCTGTTTAAATACATCGCTGATTGGTCTTTATCTTTTAAGCAGCCAAGTAAATTTAGTACAACAATCAGAAAGGGTTTACATCGAAAATAAACGAATTGATAACAAATATGATTACTACCCTCACATACTCTTATGTCTTACTGGGCCGTGGATTATCGGAAGACAAAATCTTTCATATGATTGCGAAGAGTAGATATTTAAGAAAAACACTATTAATACACATTTTTTGAGGAATCTAGAATTATGATAAGAAATCGACTACATGGCTTATGTTAATCTGTTTAATAACAAAATGGATCTATCGATAAGACTGTCCCAACTACGTAGCAGGATGAATCAAAACCTAGAGTAGGAAAATTTCTATCCGGTTGACCATTAAATTAAACATTTTGATTTTTACCACTGCAGCTCCCCATCAGATTTTACTTGACATATCACAAATGACTTATAACAACACATAAAAATGAACTTTATCAGATATTTCCTGTGTGCACAATATGTAAAGGATCCTTTAACTAAAAGATATCTATGGTCTATCAAACGGAACTAATATTAAAAACAAAGTGATATGTTCAGAGCATTGAAAGTATACTGTACAATATTTAATAATATAATTCGACTATGTCTTGCGATTGTACTAAGTGAGTGTAGTGTAAATTATTACAATTCTAATCAGAAAGCCTTGTAGATTAGAACCAATAATGTAGGAATCATATTCTACACACATTTTCACTCAGAAATTTTAAAACAGTGAACAGAAAATACAAAGGATAAGCACTTTTCTGACCAAAAAAATTAACTCTTCTCAATGTTAGTTGTGGAGGAAAGACTGACACACGACAGAAAAAATAATAACACCTATGATAAACCCATTAAGTAGGTTAACAAAAATTCGTATACATAACTAATGTTATTACTTAGAAAATAAACTAAATTTATTCGCAGTGATAAATGAACATACCTGATAAAGCAACTGTTTGCCAGCGTCGATCATAGAAAGGTGAGGCTGGAGTTCCATTAACTAATTCATACAGTTTCAAAAGACTTGGACTTTGGATAGGTGAAAAAACACTCAAAGCAACTCCTCTCATCCTTAAATTTTTAAGTGGTTCTTGAGAGTTTAGTTTAGAACCATCGTCTCCCAATTCTATAAAAGATGAATCTGACTCCCAGAGTTTACTTGTATCAACTGGAGACATGGCTAGGAGTATTAGATGTCTTTGAACCTTTTTGCATAAACCACGCCGTGCTCGATCAATGGCATCGAATTCTCTGACTGCTGCTTGTAATAACTCATGACCAGGTGTACCTTCAGAAGGATTAATTTGATCACTGGTGTGACGTGATTCATGTTGCATAGTAGCAACTCTTTTTAGAATCTTATAAATTATAGGTGTATCAGGCATCAGCGTAGTTGTTTGCATTGGCTTGCGCCAACAGAAGCCATGAAGTGAATAAAGGGATGTATAGACCTGGAATAAGAAATAATGATTTAATTATTCAAGTATTATTATTCTCATAATTTATTGACATCAAATAATAATTAATAAAAACTAAAACATATCAACAATCTACTCACACAGCATGGATACATGAAATTTCCAGATACTGCGATGAACACAATATCGTTCAACGACGGAATCGGTTATGAAGTGATTCGTAACCTTTAACTTTAGTTAAACTTTGGGATAGGTGAGCAACCATTTCACTGGTTACTCAGCTTACTGAGCTATTGGATTTAAGGCATTTTCAAAATGAATGAGGCATATCATAAGAAAAGAAGAAGATAAATGACTGTACATACAGCATATACTGTGCTAAGTTATATCACCTGTGGAATTCAGTTTATTTGAATGAAAAATACTATATGCTGACTGTAACACCACAATGTAGTCACAATGAATTAATTGAAAGTAGATAAATAATTTAGGTTACGTTTTCAGAGTAAAAAAGCTTCTTGAATTATTTGTTCTATATCATTATGATTGCGTTCGCACATTCGATTTATGACAGATACTTTACCATCAGATGCAATATTATTAAGATGAAGTAACTTCTATTTGGAGAGTATTCGTAATCACGTTGATTTTCTGGTTCTTAATACTAATTAATGTTTTTCACTTAAGTAAATAAATTTGATCCCTATACTAACTGAATGGCTGAACTGTAGCTGAGTGGCTTTAGAAAACTGACTACAACATAATGGCCATGAGTTTAAGCTGTGCTTCATACAGGGGTATTCGGTTAACTAGATCGTATCTCACCACACTATGCACTGTTTTAAGATTTATGCGTATCATCTATCAAACATTTTTATCTAATTTTCATGCTCCTTAGTTTTTATTGGTTGAGTGAATGTACAATCAGATGGTAATATGTGTTCAAAGGAAATACCTTTTTGAATTAAAGCTTAGAGATACTTCTACTAAATGAGCAAAATTTAAGAAGATATACACATTATTCTCTTTAACTGCTGTAATAAATTATTTAATAAATGTTACAGCGTTTCAACTTTTTTTATGAATTAGTGGAATTTTCGAATAAAACTGAGGTATTAGTACTTTTTTCAGATATTTTAATGTAAGAATTTCTGTATTACTATAAATCAAATGAACTAGTAAATGACCTAGATATTCAGTAAAGTATTTGATTACTGTTGTAAAGTTGATGAACTTCTTAGCAGGAAGCATCCACAGTTAACAGTTACGATACTCTTATTTAAATGCATTCGTGTTTATAGCAGTGTTTTTAGTAGTTTTTATAACATAATCATTTGTGTTTTAAATTTTAAGTCAAACATGAATCGATTTATTGCATTTGGCTTTGATATGAGGGGGAAACGTGTAAGTTTATCGACGTTAGGCCTTTACTTTTTAAGTTCATGAGTGAATTAGTAGATCAATGTCTAGCACTTACTGACATTTTAGATGAATTTTAATCATGCTTTCTATATGTAAAATACTTTGTATTTAAGTGTGTAATTTCTTCATAAAAAACAACTCAATTTTTGCAGACAAGCTATTCTGTTTATTGACATATGTTTATTGTCGGGATTAAATTCATAAATTCAGATTTATGAGCAGCGACGACGTGGACACGATCAAGTCAACAGATCAATCGCCTATCTCTCATAATTCACATAAATTCTCCTCTAATAAAGAAAAGTACTAACACGATTGTGCATCACTTCCTTTCAGCCTTGATATTGCTCAAACATATTGTACTGGGTGTTACTCACATGAGTACATATAAGTAGTATATAGCGGAGCGTCGCAGTCGACAGCCGAAGACAGCAGTCTCAGGAACCCAAAATCTCGGAGAGTTATGGATACTAGTGAGACCACAAAAGCAGTCTACAACTAACATGGGTTGCGGAACACACAATAGATGAAAATGGAAGATTGAAGACTAAGTGTACATATGTCATAATCTGTGTTGACTCTGGACTTGGCTTGTTCATTGGCTACAGTATGACATACGTCATTTTAATTTAGAACTACTTCTAAGTGCACGAATCCAGCTTAATAACAATCTAATATTTTACAAACATTATAGTTATAATTCCACTTAATTTTTTTAGTGAATACGATCGTATAACTGCGATTGTCTTCAATTTGGATAATCCATTTCTTCCACGGTAGTAATTTTCGACCATATGGAAATATTAGTTATTTCGCCATATTGTAAATGTACTCACCAGGGATATAAAGTCTCAGTTTACTTAGTCTGGTGTTAGACCGCTCAAGACCCTTTAAACTAAGGACGGTTGAATTGTAGGTCAACTGGTTTGTCTTCAACTACTTTAAGTCGACTGAGAAATATGAGCTCTTTTCAAAAGAGTGCTTTCTTCAAGTACATTTCGAGAGTTGCCCTGCATGGCTAAGAAAAGGTAAATGTAAAACAACCAATGGTCACATTTTCCAACACTTGTTCAATTCTGGTCATGTAACCTCTTAAGAAGTAGCTTCGCGTCAAAAGATCCGTTGGGAATATACAACCCTAAGTCTAATACGTGCGTTTAAAAACGATGTCTTCAAGCCCTCATTTTATCTTGGTCTAAAAAATTACGACAACAGTAAATCCATTTCAACTTTAGACGCTGCTAACTCATTTTATTCCTTATTCTGACGTTTCCTTAATATTCTTCAAGTGGGCAATTATCTTTTAACTATGATTTATTTTCATCTAACTGTTTCGCACTACTCTTTAGCTTTTTACCTAGTTTTTTGATACACACGATGAATCCTTAAGTGACCCAATATTTATCTACTTTATTATAAATTGTTATGTGCTAAATAATAATCATAATACTTGAATTCATGAGTCGATGTAAGCTAGACCACCAGTGAAAACCTGGAACCACGTTTCATCCTAATATGGGGCTCGTCAGTAGTGCGCATCCACGATTCCGCCCGCGAGATTCCAACCTAGAATCTTCGATTTTGCGTGCGAACGCCTAACATTTAAACCACTGAGCCGGCATCCAAAGGGGTTAATGTCTTCCAGGTTTTCACTGGTGGTCTAGCTTACATCAACACATGAATTCAACTACTGAAATTATCAATCTCCACGCACCCCGATCCTAAAAAATAATAATCAACCTTTGTGAATCATATGAAAGAAAATTTTTTTCTCGTGGAATTGATTTTAATTTTTTCTCAATGTTGCAATGGGCTTTCTACGTTAAGTTTTTCTTCTTAAATCAGATTTTTATAAATCTCAGCCGACTAACGTACTCGCTTCTTTTTCATCACGTGTGCTTCTATTCTTCTTAGAAATGGATCCCTAGTTATATCTTCTCTTTCATAACCAGTGTTAATAAATCAAGTTTATTATACGGGACCACTAGTCTTCTAAAACAGAACTCTGAAACACATGTGACAACCTTCAATATTAAATAAAAGAACACGTTACACCAAACAGAAACCTAGGGTTTGAAGTTATGAATGAAAATTGTGTTGCAGAAACACATTTGCATGACTGAAGTGTGGTTATTCACTTGATCTTATCCGATCAACGAAGATAACCAATATAAATTAACTTTCGGTAGCTTGAGGATTAGAAAACTAATTCTCTTGGTCTGTTACAGCTAATGAAGGAATAAGTAACGTGGAGATTGTTAGGTAAAGTAGACGGATGAAATTAGGACATATTTCCAATAACTAATCCGTCTTTCTCGATCTTTATTGTGTTAGTAGTAGAAAAAATGGACTCCACGAAGTGGCAATTTGAGCTTCGTAAATAAATTTGTGCTTAGTATACTACTGAATTTACTATGAGCATAAGTGGTCGACAAATAAGTCAGAAACATATTCCATTTATTCTAAATAAAAGAACAAAAGACCTTGAACTAAGACTTAACTGTAGAATAAAATGATATAACAAAAAGTGTAGGTTTGAAAGAACAGCATTCATAAAACATGAGACATTGACATTATACCTTTTACACTTATTGAAAATTACCAACGCACTAACGTGTCAGTCAGTCAGTAACAACGTAGAAATTCGTACGTACGTACATCAGTTCGCGTTGCAATACCACATTAGCACAGAGATGCAGTTGTCCATTCAAATCCCATAGCAGTGGAGGTAGTAAAAGTATAAGCAGTAATCGGAAACATTAGGGTTTGAAGATGCTATTCAAGGATTATAATTCAGTGAAATAAATTTGGAAAGAGAACACAAGGGACATGACAAATTCAGAAGATTAGAATTTGGGAGAACATAAAGAGTTGATGTACCTGCACCATTGCAAACAATTTTGAGTCATGTCATTCAGGGTCTCTAACCATCAGTTGCTATCATCTCACGGTCCCAAACCAGGTATTCTACACCTACCGACATGACTCAGTCCACCTGTCAGTGACTTCATGGACTTGTGCCATGTTTTGATCTGGCCGCCCCTAGCTTTCTTCCAACCTACTCCTATACTATTGAACATCGTACGTCGAGGCAGTCGGTGGTTGGGCATACGTAACACGTGTCTCATCCATCTCAATTCATGAAGTTTTACTACTTCATCAATTGATTTGCCATCCTTACCTATTACCCGTTTCCTAACAACTGAGTTACTTATCCGGTGGTCCCAGGATATACGAGCAATGTTTCGAAGACACCTATGATCGAATACTAGTAACCTACGAATATCCTATACTCTTACCAGCCACGTTTCACTGTCATAAAGTAGGACGGAACATACTGCTGCGCCGGAAACACGTACTTTGGTCGATAGACGGATATCTCGCCCACGCCATAAATGACGTAAGTTGGCAAAAGCTAGTCGAGCCTTCTGTATCCGTGCTGAGATTTCGTCACACACCAGACCACAAGGGCTGATGAGACTTCCAAGATAAGTGAAGCAGTCGACACACTCAACTACTTCACTCCCTATCATTAGTTCGGGTGTCGATGCAACCCAATCAATCCTGGAAGTAACATTTTGCACTTCGAGAGGCAGAATCGCATCCCGAAC